GGAGAGCGCTGTCCATTTCACCACCATAGATAGTAGGCTACTTGGAGAGCGCTGTCCATTTCACCACCATAGATAGTAGGCTACTTGGAGAGCGCTGTCCATTTCACCACCATAGATAGTAGGCTACTTGGAGAGTTCTGTCCATTTCACCACCATAGATAGTAGGCTACTTGGAGAGTGCTGTCCATTTCACCACCATAGATAGTAGGCTACTTGGAGAGCGCTGTCCATTTCACCACCATAGATAGTAGGCTACTTGGAGAGCGCTGTCCATTTCACCACCATAGATAGTAGGCTACTTGGAGAGTGCTGTCCATTTCACCACCATAGACAGTAGGCTACTTGGAGAGCGCTGTCCATTTCACCACCATAGATAGTAGGCTACTTGGAGAGCGCTGTCCATTTCACCACCATAGACAGTAGGCTACTTGGAGAGCGCTGTCCATTTCACCACCATAGATAGTAGGCTACTTGGAGAGCGCTGTCCATTTCACCACCATAGATAGTAGGCTACTTGGAGAGCGCTGTCCATTTCACCACCATAGATAGTAGGCTACTTGGAGAGTTCTGTCCATTTCACCACCATAGATAGTAGGCTACTTGGAGAGTGCTGTCCATTTCACCACCATAGATAGTAGGCTACTTGGAGAGTGCTGTCCATTTCACCACCATAGATAGTAGGCTACTTGGAGAGTGCTGTCCATTTCACCACCATAGATAGTAGGCTACTTGGAGAGTGCTGTCCATTTCACCACCATAGATAGTAGGCTACTTGGAGAGTGCTGTCCATTTCACCACCATAGATAGTAGGCTACTTGGAGAGTGCTGTCCATTTCACCACCATAGATAGTAGGCTACTTGGAGAGTGCTGTCCATTTCACCACCATAGATAGTAGGCTACTTGGAGAGTGCTGTCCATTTCACCACCATAGATAGTAGGCTACTTGGAGAGTGCTGTCCATTTCACCACCATAGATAGTAGGCTACTTGGCTGTTTACTCTGGCTGCTGCTCTGCTACGTTGTGTTTGACACTTTTTTCACAATGTGTTCCGGTACCTCAGATTCCCTCAGATTCCCTCGGATAACCCCCTCTCGCACTCTCTATGTGTTCCGGGACATCCCGATTTACAAATTAAGCACTGGAGTTACCCAACCCTCTTTAAATAAATGAATATCTGTATATAATTTCACTCAAAACGTTGTAATGTTGACTGTCTGATGACATGTCCTCTAACTGTTTTGGACCCTCTGTTGCTGAGCAGGCTCTAAGATTGTGAAGGAGAAGGATCTGATGCTAGACTTTGTACTCTAAGGAGCTTATGCTAACTATGTGATGTTCATAATGAAATCTTATTTTTGAGATTTGTACAAATTTCCAGTTAGGACATAGGCCTACTGTGTTGTATATCCTGTTACCAGGTATGTTTTAAATGTTTGTACAATTGAATGTTATGGTTTGTCTGTATAACCATTTTAACAGCCAAAGTCAGTAATATTGTTGTTGTCTTGTAAGATAATGATGTAGGCTAGGGGTGTCAAACATAAAACATAAAATATATATATACACTCTATATACAAAAGTATGTGGACACCCCTTCAAATTACTGGATTCGTCTATTTCAGCTACACCTGTTGCTGACAGGTGTATAAAATCGAGCACACAGCCATGCAATTTCCATAGACAAACATTGACAATAGAATGGCCTTACTGAAGAGCTCAGTGACTTTCAACGTGGCACCGTCATAGGATGCCACCTTTCCATCAAGTCAGTTTGTAAAATTTCTGCCCTGCTAGAGCTGCCCAAGTCAACTGTAAGGGCTGTTATTGTGAAGTGGAAATGTCTAGGAGCAACAACGGCTCAGCCGCTAAGCGGTAGGCCACACAAGCTCACACAACGGGACCGTCGAGTGCTGAAGCGCGTAGCGCGTAAAAATTGTCTGTCCTTGGTTGCAACAATCACTACCGAGTTCCAAACTGCCTCTGGAAGCAATGTCAGCAGAAGAACTGTTCATCGGGAGCTTCATGAAATGGGTTTCCATGGCTGAGCAGCCGCACACAGGCCTAAGATCACCATGCGCAATGCCAAGCGTCGGCTGGAGTGGTGTAAAGCTCGCCGCCATTGGACTCTGGAGCAGTGGAAACGCATGCTCTGGAGTGATGAATCACGCTTCACCATCTGGCAGTCCGACGGACTCTATCTGGGTTTGGCGGATGCCAGAAGAACGATACCTCATCATGAGCACCATCATGAGGCACACCTGGACTTCATCATTCCCTGATTACTTCCCCTTTATCTAGCACTCCGTTGTATCACCCATTAGGTAGTATTGTTTCCGGTTTTCATGTTTAGACGCTACTCCTGTTTTTGTATTCACTCCATGTTCGTTCCTATTAAACTCACCGACTACACTGCTTCCTGACTCCCTGCGTCTCCGTTACAGACTTATTCTAACATGGATTAAATAAACGTTTTTCCTCATCAATCTAAACACAATACCCCATAATGACAAACAACAACAGTTGTTTAGAAATGTTTGCACATTTATTGAAAATTAAACACGGAAATATCACATTTACATAAGTATTCAGACCCTTTACTCAGTACTTTGTTGAAGCATCTTTGGCAGCGATTCCAGCCTCGAGTCCTCTTGGGTACGACGCTACAAGCTTAGCACACCTGTATTTGGGGAGATTCTCCCATTCTTCTCTGCAGATCCTCTCAAGCTCTGTCAGATTGGATGGGGAGCGTCGCTGCACAGCTATTTTCAGGTCTCTCCAAAGATGTTCGATCGGGTTCAAGTCCGGTTGGCACACTCCAACATTCAGACGTAATTTACAAATGAAGCATGTGTGCTTACTGAGTCCACTAGATCAGAGGCAGTAGGGATGACCAGGGATGTTCTCTTGATACTTGTACGTGAATTAAACAATTTTCCTGTCCTGCTAAGCATTCAAAATGTAACAAGTACTTTTGAATGTAAGGGGAAATGTATGGAGTAAAAAGTACATTATTTTCTTTAGGAATGTAGTGAATTAAACGTATAAGTTGTCAAAAATATAAATAGTAACCCCAAAAAACTACTGAAGTAGTATATTACACCACTGCTCCTTTTGATACATTTCTACTGTCCCTTCTGTGCTCTTCCAATAAAAAATAATAATATTTGTCGTCTTTCTTGAGCGAAACCTCAGAATCTCTTCATGTCTTCCCCTTTTCCACAGAACCTGTTGAAGCAGTTCTATGACATGAGTCTGGACACAGGGGACAAGTCAATACAGTGTGGCCATAAGGCTGTCTGAAGCTGTGGTTGATGTGGAAAGCTGTGGGCTCACATGGCTTGGCAGAGCGTGTAGACGGGGCTTTCGCCCATACAAGGTACAATCAGATAGCCTATAGGGGTATTCATGGGTATTGGGTACAACCCAATATTATGTATGTAAAACCTGGATTGCTGATGCTATGTATTAGCCAATTCGATTCTTTGAAGCCATCGGCCCATATTGGCAATCCTCCATAAGAATGAATGAAATTATACAGTATTTCAATTAAATACAACATTACATGTATTTAAGTATGTTTTTGTTGCAGTGGGGACAGTAACATTAGAACTTTCCAAAAATTATACTATAAGGACATTTTTTAAATATATATATTTTTAATGTTTTATGTTTAGCTCACATAATTACAATTTAAAAGAATGCATTAAGGTGTCTGTAATATAATACATGTGGCAAAAACCAATGTAGACATTAATAAATGCATTTCTATAGCTTCCAAAATATTTTCTTTTTTACAATGGTGCCAAGATGGAGGCGTTGAGGCTTCAAAACAGCTCCACCTGTCTGTTATCTAGTACAAATATACAGTAAATCATTGGTACAACCCCATGGCTGTAATTATAAATAAGGTGACTCATGCTCCTTACCTCAGATCTCTCATTTAAAGATTTTGGAAGAACCTATGTCAATTAAAGATGTTTTAAATGGAATGGAATGAATCATTTGTCCCTGTCTGTCCCACAGGTTTCTGGTAGAGGAGATGAAGAAACATGAGTGATTTCAATTTATAGAGAAGGTGAGATTTTATCGATAGTACTGTACACACTAAGGAATATTTGTATTTTCCCATTTTCATCTCACCAAGGTCTTCTGCTCTTGTCCCATTGAACAGCCTGAGTTTGTGACTGTGTGTATCTGGTTCATATCACTCAGCTTGAGGGGAAAGGAGAACAGTCCAGATTATCAAAACAGAATGTCAAAGGTTGGTGTACGAAGTAGTTTACTGTGATGACAGTAATGTTTTTATGTGGCACCTTAATTGGGGAGGACGGGCTCATAATAATGTCTGGAACTGAAAAAAATTGAATGGTATGAACACATCAAACACATGGGAGAATTACCAAAGATCTTTTATAACTAACTCAAGATAGACCAGACCCTTTCGTTTCCAATGGAAGTAAATGAATCATAGTGGGCAGAACAAGCAAGGAGGTGGGCAGAACTCAGAACGAGCTAGCGAGATCCTATTGGTGCGTTGTAGCTGTATTTGCATATTTCCGTTAGGGACGCCTATTCTGTGATGTGTGCGTGTGCAATAACTCAATTCGCCCTTGCACTCCTTCTTAAGAACGCAATTTTTTACAACTTTAGCAAATGGTAAAGTCTACTAAACTTAGTCCACTCTGTTTGTAACATATTTTAGTTTTGGAAATAGAAAACTGTATTGAGATAGATCAAATGCTTAATCGATCAGAACATTTGCAGAATATCGGCCAAAATCCATCTCGCTCTGTCTTCTCCCACTGCTGGCCATTGGGCTTCCTCTCATCACCATATTTGGTAGAGTGGAAACGCCAACCGGATGGTTCACATTTATATATCTATTGAAATATCGGACTCATTGTTCTATCTGTGACCGATTATCTTTCCCTTACCAACATGGCCGACATTATGCGTCATTGTTCTCAAATCACGTGGACGCGCTCTCTGGCGAACACTTCCGGTAGCGTTTCCTGTGTTTGTAAACTGAGAAAAATTGGAACTCCGTCAAGAAATATTAATCTGCAAAACAAAATCTTAAGGTAAACCAATTCTAAAATGTACATCCCAACAAAGCCACCCTAGAGTTAACAATGCATATGATTAAGTTATTTCCCAGAATGTTAAGGCAAATGAGAGTTATGACAATTTGTAGTGGCGCTCAACCCGCACGCCTTGCCTGTTGTTGTGTTGTCTCTCTGTGTGTGTGTGTGTGTGTGTGGGTTGGGGGGACTCAACCAGAGAGTCTTCTTCTTGCCCTAGCTTCACCTAAGCAGACCCTTGCTTTACCCCATACGTTACCTCATGATTGATTGATTATTCACTAAATATTTAGCTGAACAATATTTTCACTCATCTTGGTATTTGGCCTCGAAAACTCAGTCAGACAATGATGTCTTGCTAGCTAGATAGCTAGCTAACTTGCTAAATAGGTAACTAGCTAGCTAACATTGAGCTGGCATAGCTTTTCTCTCAGTATTCAGACATTATTGTAGCTAACTAGAGCACTGAATAATACTGCATTTTTTTTACAGGCCTTAACGTATTGCAATGTCAAAACAGGTTATCTATCCAATGCATTTGCCCCATGATTTTGCTGTGTGTGTGAGTTTTAACAAGCAAGCTAGGTAGCCCCTCACTTCCATGCAGCTTTAGCTTGTCCTTTGCATGAAGACTAGAGTACTTGCATGGAGACTAGAGTAGAAGATCAGCTGTGTGGCTAGGCTAAATTAGGCTTTCCTGTTTGTTTTTATACTTGACTTTATACATGACTCCTAAAATGTGATATCATATCGTTAGCATAATACTTTGGTCAATATTGAATGTTCTCTTGAGTAACTTGCACATGCATTTTTACAAACTGTGTTTGTCCTTGTCCAGCTTTATTTCTGTCTTCATTGCAACAATATTTGACAACAATGTTTTCTGTTTTCCATGGGAAGAGGTGGCATACACCAAACCATTGGGGCTGCTGTCTCCAAGCCTGATATAAACTTCCTTTGTTGAGTTGACAAAGCCAAATTTATAAAAGCACCCCTGATGATTAAACTAACTTGCACTGTAGCTAGTAGGTCTGAATATGAATACCAGTAGTTAAAATAAAAATAAACAAAATACAATAATTTTGGCCTCACAATAACCCTCTATTTCCAGGCCTTGGCCCCTGATTATTTGGGTGAGTGTGGTCTCTTGTCACACCCCTCATCCTGAGTGACCCCCCCTTGACGCACCCCTGTACCCCCAAACACACACACGCATTCAAACCACGCACCGGCGATGACACACCATCCCAACAACTCCGTTCGAGACCACATGAAATGGGTCAGTTGAATTCTCCTTCCTGTTTTCATCATTGTTTTTTCCCTGTTCCTCACAGTGTTTCCCTTAGAGGCCTGACCACAGTGTTTCCCTTAGAGGCCTAAACACAGTGTTTCCCTTAGAGGCCTGACACACCAGGCCAAAAATCGTCAGAGAACAGTCAGTGAACGACCATCTACAGTCCCCGCAGGATTTTGGCCCTGTGTGTCGGGCCTTTATGCCTGGGACTGACATGGACCCTGACGCTGACTCTAAGCTTCTGTTTGTTTTGTCCTGTGTTGTTCCTGCAGGCTGGGTTGATGACCCTCCTAGGCCACAATACTACGCTCCAACTGAACTGCTGTTTGTGTTGTTACTGTAGGCTGGGTTGCTGGGCTGTGAGACGGTGCTGTCCAGCATGGCCCTGATGCAGGCCAACAACATGTCTGGCAGTCAGAAGAAGATGACATCACAGCACGGCCAGGGTCAGCAGGGTCAGAGAGACAACAACAACCCTGAGAGCCACCAGCAGCAGTCTCACCAGTCTCACCACAGCCACATGGTCTTGCCCTCGGGGGTCAGCTGCCCACCCCTGGTGAGAAACAGAGACACACTAATGTTATAGGGCCATAGGACGTAGTATACATACTACAAGTGCTTCTGTGTTCATTAGCATGGAGAACAACACCGTTGTTGTTGTTTACAATTGGGCGTTTGGCAATTAATCAGAAATCATGCTCATGTAATTATTGTAAATCTATCAGAAATCTAAAACGTAATAAATATCTAAGCAGTAGCTCTATTTTGGTTAGTATGTTAGAAAAATGAATTGCCAACCATTTCCCCCCTCTCTCTCCTCGATAGTTAATCAGAAAAGATGGACACTCGTTTCACACACCCAGGCTGCTGGATGAGAAAGATATGCAGGCCAGCCAGAATATGCAATCGACAAAGAAAAAGCACAGAAAATCAGGAACACCCAACAAACTGAGAGAGAAAGTGGAGGTAAGTAGTGTGTGAGATGGGGAAATGGAATGTACAATGTTAGATACACTTACAGGACAGGTGTGTGTGTTTGCTGAAGCCTTACACTTTTAGGGTGTGTGAAGTTGTAGTCATCTGAACACTCATTGGGTTTCTCAGCAGGTGGAGATGGATATTAATGGTGAGGATGATCATAATTCACAAGTACAGAAGAACTTCATCTGTGAGCACTGCTATGGAGCATTCCGAAGTAGCTACCACCTGAAGCGGCACATCCTCACTCATACAGGTTTATATCGCTTTACGTTTCCCCTTCCTTGCTCAGCAATACTCATCAAATCTGGCAACAGTTATAACATTCAGAAAAACAATCACATAGTAGAGAAATATGCACAACTCTCACTCACAATTAAAAACAGATGTTAAGTAAAAAATCCATCAAATTCAATCCATACCATTAGGTTTTGAACAGTGTTTTTGTGTTGTTGTTGTTTAGGGGAGAAGCCGTTTGCATGTGACGTGTGTGACATGCGGTTTATTCAGCGATACCACCTGGACAGACACAAGAGAGTTCACAGTGGAGAGAAGCCCTACCAGTGTGATCGCTGCAATCAGGTAAGAGAGATCTACACTGCACACTGTACACACACACACACACACCTGGTACACACACACATGGTACACACACACTACCCCATTCCTAACACACACACCTGGTACACACACTACCCCATTCCTAACACACACACCTGGTACACACACTACCCATTCCTAACACACACACCTGGTACACACACTACCCCATTCCTAACACACACACCTGGTATCAGCAGGACCGGACACAGCGTTGTGGAACGTTTAGAGAGAAATATGTTATGTAGAACAAACATACCTTTCTGACGTGTAATCCCAACATGTTTTAAGCAGACCACCATTGTCCCTGTTCACACAAACTCCAAGGTAACCTGTCTAAATGACTACCTCCCCGTAGCACTCACATCTGTAATTATGAAGTGCTTAGAAAGGCTGTGCATGACACATCAACACCATCATCCCAGACACCCTGGACACACTCCAATTCGCATACCTCCCCAACAGACCCACAGATGATGCAATCTCAATTTCACTTCACACTGCCCTCTCCCACCTAGACAAGAGGGGAAATAACTATGTGAGAATGCTGTTCATACACTACAGCTCAGCGTTCAACACCATAGTCCCCTCCAATTTTATCACCAAGCTAGGAACCCTGGGATTGAACACCTCCCTCTGTAACTGGGTCCTAGACTTCCTGACGGGCTGCCCCCAGGTGGTGAGGGTAGGCAACGACACATCCGTCACGCTGACCCTCAACGTGGGGGCCCCTCTAGGGTGTGTGCTTAGTCCCCTCCTGTACTCCTTGTTCACCCATGACTGCGTGGCCGCTCACGACTCCAACACCATCATCAAGTTTACTGACGTCACGACGGCGGTAGGCCTGATCACCGACCGCAATGAGACAGCCTACAGGGAGGAGGTCTGAGAGTTGGCAGTGTGGCGCTATGACAACAACCTCTCCCTAAACGTCAGTAAGACCAAGGAGCTGATCGTGGACTACAGGAGAAAGAGGGGAGCGCACGCCTCCATCCACATTGACAGGGCTCTAGTGGAGCGGGTCAAGAACTTCATGGTCCTTGGCGTCCATATCACTAAGGGCTTAACATGGTCCACACACACCCGCACAGTCGTGAAGAGTGCAGCACCTCTTCCCCCTCAGGAGGCTGAAAAGATTTGGCATGGGCCCTCGGATCCTGAAAAAGTTTTACAGCTGCACCATCGAGAGCATCTTGACTGGCTGCATCACCGCTTGGTATGGCAAATGCACCACCCTCGACTACAAAGCACTACAGAAGGTGGTGCGGACAGCCCAGTAAATCACTGGGGCCTAGCTCCCTGCCATCCAGGAACTCTATACCAGGCGGTGGTAGAGGAAGGCCCGAGCCACAGACTCCAGCCACCCAAGCCATAGACTGTTCACTCTGCTACCGTCCAGCAAACGGTACCGGAGCATCGGCTCTCGGACCAACAGGCTCTGAGACAGCTTCTACCCCCAAGCCATAAGACTGCTAAATAGCCATAAGACTTCTAAATAGTTTAATGTTTACCCTGACTATCTTGCACACTCTCAAGACTATACACACTCACACAAAACCCCCACACATTCACATACACTACATACACACACACACACATACCAACAACACAAACACACATCATATGCTTCTGCTTCTCTGTTCTTTATTTTACACGTATTATTATCTATCCTGATGCCTAGTCACTTTATCCTGCCTTCATGTACATACAGTGCATTTGGAAAGTATTCAGACCCCTTGACTTTTTCCACATTTTGTAACATTACAGTCTTATTCTAAAATGGATTAAGTAGTTTTTTCCCCTCATCAATCTACACACACTACCCCATAATGACAAAGCAAAAACAGGTTTTTAGAAATGTTATGAATACTTTCCGAATGCACTGTACTGTATATATAGTCACACAATTGTTTTGCAAATTTATTCAAAATAAAAAACGTAAATATCACATTTACATAAGTATTCAGACCTTTTACTCGCACCTTTGGCAGCGATTATAGCCTCAAGTCTTCTTGGGTATGATGCTACAAGCTTGGCACACCTGTGTTTGGGGAGTTTCTCCCATTTTTCTCTGCAGATCCTCTCGAGCTCTGTCAGGTTGGATGGGGAGTGTCGCTGCACAGCTATTTTCAGGTCTCTCCAGAGATGTTCAATCAGGTTCAAGTCCGTGCTCTGGCTGAGCCACTCAAGGATATTCAGAGACTTGTCCCAAAGCCACTCCTGCGTTGTCTTGGCTGTGTGCTTAGGGTCGCTGTCTTGTTGGAAGGTGAACCTTCGCCCCAGTCTGAGGTCCTAAGCGCTCTGGAGCAGGTTTTCATCAAGGTTCTCTCTGTACTTTGCTCCGTTCATATTTTCCTCGATCCTGACTAGTTTTCCAGTCCCTGCCGCTGAAAAACATCCCCACAGCATGATGCTGCCACCACCATGCTTCACCGTAGGGATGGTGCCAGGTTTCCTCCAGACGTGACGCTTGGCATTCAGGCCAAAGAGTTCAATCTTGGTTTCATCAGACCAGAGAATCTTGTTTATCATGGTCTGAGAGTCCTTTAGGTGTCTTTTGCCGAACTCCAAGCGGGCTGTCATGTGCCTTTTACTGAGGAGTGGCATCCGTCTGGCCACTCTACCATAAAGGCCTGATTGGTGGAGTGCTGCAGATATGGTTGTCCTTCTGGAAGGTTCTCTCATCTCCACAGAGGAACTCTGGAGCTCTGTCAGAGTGACCATCGGGTTCTTGGTCACCTCTCTGACCAAGGCCCTTCTCCCCCGATTGCTTTGTTTGGCCAGCTCTAGGAAGAGTCTTGGTGGTTCCAAACTTCTTCCATTTAAGCCACTGTGTTCTTGGGGACCTTCAATGCTGCAGAAATGTTTTGGTACCCTTCCCCAGATCTGTGCCTTAACACAATCCTGTTTCGGAGCTCTACGGACAATTCCTCCGACCTCATGGCTTTGTTTTCGCACTGTCAACTGTGGGACCTTATATAGACAGTTGTGTGCCTTTTTCAAATCATGTCCAATCAATTTAATTTACCACAGGTGGACTCCAATCAATTTGTAGAAACATCTCAAGGATGATTAATGGAAACAGGATGCACCTGAGCTCAAGTTCGAGTCTCATAGCAAAGGGTCTGAATACTTATGTTAATACATTTGCAAAAATGTTGAAAAACCATTTTTCGCTTTGTCATTATGGGCTATTGTGTGTAGATTAATAAGGGAAAAAATTAATGTAATCTATTTTACAATAAGGTTGTAACGTAACAAAGTGGAAAAAGTCAAGGGGTCTGAATACTTTCCGAATGCACTGTCTACCTCAGATACCTTGTACACTTGCACATTGATCTGGTGCTCCATGTATGAAAAATGTATGCACTCACTAACTGTAAGTCGCTCTGGATAAGAGCGTCTGCTAAATGACTAAAAAAATATACTATTTTTCTTTTCATTGAACATTTTTAACTCTCCATCATTGGGAAGGGCTCGTAAGCAAGCATTTCACAGTTAAGTTTACACCATTGTATTCGGCACGTGACAAATAGAAATAGATTTGATTTGTAGAATAAGGAATCATGTCGGCTCTATTCATGACATTTCTATCTGCAACACTCTACAACATTTTCCTATTGAACATGGTCCAGGGTTTGGAGTCAATAGGTAGGTACATTACACTGACTCCTGTCATTTGTGGTTATAAGTTTGCTCTCCCTCTGCCCCCGTTTTAGAACTTCTCACGGACGGACCGTCTGCTACGTCACCGCCGTCTGTGTGGAGCGGGGGCCAGCCTTCCCAAGGAGGAGAACCAGTCATTCTCCTGCGAGAGCAGAGGAGGAGCCTACTCACAGGATGCACCTGGGCACACGGCCGCCTGGAGTCCCCTACATCAGCAGAACAGCCGTCTGGCTGTCTAACCTCTGATCCCTCAGAGAAACCCCCCCCACCCAACACGCAGTCAGCAGTCCTCAGCTCGGTGATGCCACATACTGGAGCAGACCAGTACTGCTTCCTCCCTCAGCCCAGATAAACCTGGCTAAGACACAAGACAAAGACACCCAACCTGATGCTGTTCTCACCAGTGAGCTCATATCCTGTTGATGGGATAGTGAATTTATTTTCTACTTGTTTTATTATAATATTTGTATCGTTACGTACATGGTACAAGACCAAGGGTGGGAGGGGTTTGGGCAAGCTGTCATATTACTATGGCAATAATGAATTCTCAAACTGACATGTTGTAACCTCAATTGGACTAGTATTATTTGACTGGGAATGATCCATGGAGACTCAATGTAAGGTTGGCCTGGTCAAACCAATGTGCTCCCCTGGCGTTGCTTTTTTACTGTTGAGTGTTTGTGGAAGGACACTTCCTTTTCCACAAACAGCCTCAGTGGTCATTGGCCAACAAGGTCATACTATGGACATGATTAAGTTATTTTAAGGACAATGGTGAACACACAAATCCTTGTGGCCTTGAACCACTCAGATTCATTCAGAGTTGGTTCTGTTACTACTGCTTGTAGCTCACTAGCTCCTGGACTTCCTTGTTAGGGAATGGCTGCAAGCTAATAGACCTGTGTAACTAACTGATCCTACCTTAATGTAGAGACCATTAGGGACTTCATAGCACATTTCTTGTTCTCTGTTGTGTGTCCCACACATCCATCCAGTCCTTGTTATGTGTTTGATTCAACGCCATCTAAATATATCTAACTTGTGTAATTTGATAAACTGGTCAGGTGGTGTTTAACTCTAGAACCTCTCATAGTGACCATAGAAATATAATTACTAATGTCCATTCTAGAATTCTATTTCTGTTAGTGACCTCATAGTCTTTTCAGTGAATGATCAGGACATCTGTGTATGTAGGCCTATTCTATATTCATTCACTCTATGAAGAGTCTGTCTTTCCTAACTCTTGTGTTATTTTAATTCATTGTTATCAAATGTCCTGAGTATGTTGATCCAGCTTGTCATATTTAATATTTCTGGTGTTATTTTAAAGAAGGGGTCATCATAAGCAGCAGATGAAGCAGGACGGTTGACCTCTCAACTTTGACCTGCTCTGACCCAGAAGGGACCCATGTTTGTGAATGAATGCTTCCTCTGTAATATCATACCATGTTGTGTTTCTATTCACCTCTGGCATCTTCAGTGAAGATGACCTTTTCTGATCCAAAACTACCCCTACAACATTTACGTCATTTAGCAGACGCTCTTATCCAGAGCGACTTACAGTTAGTGAATGCAAACATTTATTTTTCATACTGGCCCCCCGTGGGAATCGAACTCACAACCCTGGTGTTGCAAGCGCCATGCTCTACCAACTGAGCTACATGGGACCGTACAACCTAGGCACTCCTGAGAGAATTGGATAAATATAACCATTATGGTAATAGCTATTGCTTCCATCTGTCTAATCCTCTCAGCTCTACAGACGTGGCTAGCGGTAGGTTTGGAATTCAGAATATCTACTCAGTGGGGTTCTTTTAATTACCATTTATATTGGCGCGTCTCAAGCTCAATTATGGTAGCCTGGTCCCAGATCAGTTTGTACTGGCTTGCCAACACCTGTAAGTAAGTAGCCTTGCACGAGCCTTGGCTTCTGCAAGCTGGAACAGCTCATAGGCGCAGAGCTCCTGTTTCTGTAGCGAGGCAGCTTGATATACAAGTACACCACCTGGACAGGACGCTAGTCTATCGCAGGGCCTTAGCCCCAATCTATCTCCTGAGTGTCAAGCAGAGACGCATCAGGTCCCATTTTTACAGTCTTTGGTATGACTCGCCGAGGATCGAACTTCCAATCTCAGGGCGGACACTCTAATCACAAGGCCACTGAGTTGGTCATTGTCATAGCAACGACCATAGGAGTGGGTGGTCCTCTGTAGCTCAATTGGTAGAGCATGGCGCTTGTAACGCCAGGGTAGTTGGTTCGATCCCCGGGACCACCCATACGTAAAAATGTATGCACACATGACTGTAAGTCGCTTTGGATAAAAGCGTCTGCTAAATGGCATATTATTATTACAAACAGATCTGGGACCAGGCTAGCATCATGACATTCTGTATCTATAAACACTGGATTGAGGAAGCCTGAAATATAGGAGAAAGTTATCTGTATAGACAGAAGGTTTTTATAGAGGACAAGTAGTTACTATTGTATCACTGTCCGACTGTTAGTTGTGTCAAAGGAGTTTCATGGCAGTTCGTTTTCTACTGCTAAATTTAAGTTAATATATATTTTAAAATGTCATTTCAATTAGGAGTAGAGGCTGAACTGCCAATAGTGCCTGCCTAGTGTAGCAGTCATGATTAGTTAATTTACTTTTTATTACTGGTAGTTTTGCATGCATTTGTGATCCCCGAAATTAAATGAAGTGATCTTTTATACATTTTGTTTTTGGTAAAAACAGTACAAATGTTTTTTGATAAAATGAGGTTTTGTTTTTAAAATAATAACTTTCTTATTGTCACGATTCTAGTCCCTATCACAGACACGGAAGTCAATTTTTTACCCAGTAAGACATATTGTAGTGAATGGAAAACTAGGGCCTCAAGCTTAAATAAAGGTGTTTCTCTTTTTAACGTTTTTAAACATGTGGTACTGTTCTCGCTTTTGAATATCTTGCCAGGAGATGGCACACAGGTTCAACTGAATTGGACGCCAAATCATATCTGGCAATCATATTGCCTAGCTGGGACCTGCAATACACCACTAGAGGAGGCTCTATCCCCGGCCATTACGTCTGTGATTGTGACCCAACAGCAGCAGGCAGGCTTTGATCCTATTCTCAACATTATCTAGAACTAATAGCAATAGAGTATTACATTTGTTCAGAGATGGTTTGGGAAGAAAGAGAGTGAAGCAACTTTAGATGGCCTAGCTGGTTGAGTGAGAATAACATTGTACATTATGGGAGAGCGGTGTTGAGACAATAGGAGTAGCCTACCAACTGTCTGAACAGATCCTGAGCTGGGGCCATCCCTGTCTTGTATTGGGGCTTTCCCTTCTATACCTCTCCCCCTCTCTGTTTGGGGCCATCCCTGTCTTGGATTGGGGCTTTCCCTTCTATACCTCTCCCCCTCTCTGTTTGGGGCCATCCCTGTCTTGTATTGGGGCTTTCCCTTCTATACCTCTCTCACTTCCTTTCCATACCTCTCCACTTCATATTGGACCTATCCCTCCCCCATACCACTTTTTTGGGGCTATTCTCTCCATACCCCTCTCTTCCCCCGTATTGGGGTATTGGGTCTTTACCTGCCCCCCCTCCCTTATTGATCAGGCTTTGTAACATCCAGGACGATTAGCTAGATGAGATCAGCCTGAACTGAAGGTTGCAGGCCAGGGATTGTGTGCTCTGACGCTCCCTCTCCACCCCTGATTTACAGCACCCACAGGCTGGAGTACTACACTGGGCTCCCTTCAGTGAGGAGAGGAGAAAGTGGGCGATACCACTCCATCATCGCAGAGAGTGTTGTAATCATCCAGGTTTTAAATCATTCTGCAGACAGACTATATATGGTGTCTCTCGCGCAACACTGGCATTGCATCCCAAATGGTAACCTATTCCCTACGTAGTGCACTACTTTTGACCAGAGGGCTTATAAAGTGAATCATTAAAAGGTTCACTTCATCGTTCCTCCTCACCGATCTGCCATTCTACACGACCTTTACACAGGTCATGTAGAATTGGAGATGTGGCCACACTGTTATTACTAGCTACCGGCGGTGTGGCCACACTGGTATTACTAGCTACCGGTGGTGTGGCCACTCTGGTATTACTAGCTACCGGCGGTGTGGCCACACTGGTATTACTAGCTACCGGCGGTGTGGCCACACTGGTATTACTAGCTACCGGCGGTGTGGCCACACTGGTATTACTAGCTACCGGCGGTGTGGCCACACGGGAATTAAAATGGATTTTTTGGGGGTTTGTATCATTTGATTTACACAACATGCCTACCACTTTGAAGATGCTAAATATTTCTTATTGTGCAACAAACAAGAAATAAGACAAAAAAAACAGAACCTGAGCGTGCATAACTATTCACCCCCCCCAAAATCAATACTTTGTAGAGCCACCTTTTGCAGCAATTACAGCTGCAAGTCTCTTGGGGTTTGTCTCTATAAGCTTGGCACATCTAGCCACTGGGATTTTTGCCCATTCTTCAAGGCAAAACTGCTCCAGCTCCTTCAAGTTGGATGGGTTCCGCTGGTGTACAGCAATCTTTAAGTCATACCACAGATTCTCAATTGGATTGAGGTCTGGGCTTTGACTAGGCCATTCCAAGACATTTAACTGTTTCCACCTTAAACCACTCAAGTGTTGCTTTAGCAGTATGCTTAGGTTCATTGTCCTGCTCGAAGGTGGACCTCCGTCCCAGTCTCAAATCTCTGGAAGACTGAAACAGGTTTCCCTTAAGAATTTCCCTGTATTTAGCGCCATCCATCATTCCTTCAATTCTGACCAGTTTCCCAGTCCCTGCCGATGAAAAACATCCCCACAGCATGATGCTGCCACCACCATGCTTCACTGTGGGGATGGTGTTCTCGGGGTGATGAGAAGTGTTGGGTTTGCGCCAGACATAGCGTACTCCTTGATGGCCAAAAAGCTCAATTTTAGTCTCATCTGACCAGAGTACCTTCTTCCATATGTTTTGGGAGTCTCCCACATGGCTTTTGGTGAACACCAAACGTGTTTGCTTATTTCTTTTCTTTAAGCAATGGCTTTTTTCTGGCCACTCTTCCGTAAAGCCCAGCTCTGTGGAGTGTACGGCTTAAAGTGGTCCTATGGACAGATACTCCAATCTCCGCTGTGGAGCTTTGCAGCTCCTTCAGGGTTATCTTTGGTCTCTTTGTGCCTCTGATTAATGCCCTCCTTGCCTGGTCCATGAGGAATGGTGGGCGGCCCTCTCTTGGCAGGTTTGTTGTGGTGCCATATTCTTTCAATTTTTTAAATAATGGATTTAATGGTGCTCCGTGGGATGTTCAATGTTTCGGATATTTTTCTATAACCCAACCCTGACCTGTTTGGAGAGCTCCTTGGTCTTCATAGTGCCGCTTGCTTGGTGGTGCCCCTTGCTTAGTGGTGTTGCAGACTCTGC